GTCAGATAGTATGTAGATATTCCTTTTAAATTTTTATTTATTTTTAAATATTGATTGCACATCTCTGAGATTATGCATATAATAGTTGATGACTTGTAACTGTATCTCATTTTGTTTTGCATTTTAGCTGATTTTATTGGGTTGTTTTTTGTAATTGATTATCCCATAGGTATAATATGGACAATACCATACTGTATTATCCATATCATATGGATAATTGGGTTTGGCTTACCTGCAGATGGGCATATCCATGAATATATACAATGACATTTTTAAAGGTACCTGTTTTTCCTGCATGTACTTGCTATAAACCTATCCAGAGATAAGATGACTCGATTTTTTTTAACTAAAATACCATGAAAAATGTGGGAAGGTTTATCTGTGGATTATGCATGCTATTTTGATTAAAAACTCAAGGCTTACTTATCTGCAGATAGTCTTATACACTATGGAATGATGTATTATTCACTGTATCTTGAACTATTTGTTTCTCATGTTATATCAAGAAAGGTTGATAACTCATGTATATGGAAATATTCTGAGCTATTTTCCAGCTCTTCACAAATTTACTCCTGTTCTTTCTCCTGATACCAGGTAGACATGTTATATGCTTATGTTGTGATGATGCCTTTATAGCAAACTTTTAAACTACAAATAACTAATCATTTATTAACTTTTAAAATCTAAGCAAGAGACCTTCATATTTGCTAGAGACTATAAGCAAACTGAACTCAAAATTATAAAGGAAATGATAGATTGTAATAAACTAAGCTGATGGACTCTTCTTTTTCTGTCCACAATTTTAAACACTCTCAGTAATGATAATTATCAGCAGCAGAACTGTATTAATTCAACAGGAAATTCAATGAAAATGAACTCTAGAAAGCTTTTAAACCAACATGTCTCATTTCTAAAAGCATACCTAAAATAGTATGCCTTTTCTGTTCAGTGTATCTTCAAAGTATACAGATAACAAAGCTGCAGAAAAACAAATTGAGAAGAAAATGCTACTCTTCAAAGAGAAAACTATAGGTCAGTGATGGCGAACCTTTTAGAGACCGAGTGTCCAAACTGCAACCCAAAACCCATTTATGTATTATCGGGTGCCAGGTGGGCGTGGCCCATTGGGTGGGCATGGCTGCAGTGGTAATGGCAGACTGGGTGGGACTAAAAAGTTCAATCAATCAATTCCAACTTTGTGAGATCTTTTTTTTCCCACGAGAAGTTGAAAGTAATTGATTGATTGAACTTTTTTTTTTTCACACGGGGGCGGAGGCCTAAAGCGAAAAGGTTTTATAAAACCTAGCTGAAGGCCTAGGACTGGGGCAACGGCATGCGTGCCCACAGAGAGGGCCCTGCGTACCACCTGTGGCACACGTGCCATAGGTTCGCCACCACACCTATAGGTTATATAAAAACTAGCAAAGAAACTCGGGATATTGCTAATAAAACAGTAACAAAAATAGCCCTGTCTTTCTATTTGTTAGGCAGTTTTATAGGAGGTACTAACAATATTTATTTTCTAAGCCGAAAACTATGATTTTATTTCTTTTTATATAAGGTATATAATGGAATCATTATATGCATTATATGCAGGTTCCAACTAATGAAGCACTTCAAAGAACTTTCAGGCATGTTTCCTAAAGTCTTTATTGCAGAGCTACAGTTTTGCCGGTCACCATGATGGACGGGTTGATGCCAGAATCTGAACTTCCTTTCACTGGCATCAAGCTTTTCTTGCTAAACCCCTCCCTTCTCATGCAGTCACAGGTCACATTATCCAATTAGTGTGAAGGTCAAAAGTTTACTTCCTCTTTCTTTCCCGGGCTTTTTCCCCCCCCCACTCTAAGCTAAGTATTAACCCAATAAATACCAGACAGTTTTGCATATTGTCAAAGCAAGAATATACAGTATTCGCAGCATTGACATCCGGCCCCCCTTACAAGAAGGACAGATCCTGTAAAGTAAACAAAAGCATATGTTAAGGGTTATCTTTTGGTTTGCTGGGGTGTTTCATATGAAACCTTTCGATCAATCTGTTGGCGTTCACTTCACTAGATTTCACCCAGGTGGCTTCAGACAACGGGTATCCCTTCCATTGTACTAGGTACTGTAATTTCCCTCTAAAGATTCTGGAGTCAAGAATACGTTTCACTTCATAGTGGGTCTGCCCTGCCACTACGAGGGGTCCAGGTGCCTTCTTTGGAGGAGGTCTCAAAGTGGAGCCCCGATAAGGCTTCAACAAACTACAATGGAAAACTGGGTGAATTTTCCCTAACAGTTTAGGGAGTTTTAGTTGTACTGTGACTGGGTTGATGACCTTTACTATGGGGAAAGGCCCCAAGAATTTTGGTCCCAATTTCTTGCTTGGCAATTTGAGGCGTAGATATTTAGTTGACAGATAGACCTTTTCCCCAACTTGGAATGTTCTTTGGGGAGCCCTCTTTTTATCAGCCTGCTTTTTATAGGTTTCAAAAGTCTTTTTTAACGCAGTTTTTGTGTTTTTCCAAACTTCTTCCCACCCTCTCACCCATTGATCAAGTGTGTGAAGCGGAGGGCAACTGAGGATATTCAGGTATTGGGTTGAATTCTTTCCCTGTGGCTACTTTGAAAGGCGTGTAGCCGGTGCTGCTGTGCACGGAATTATTGTACGCCACCTCCGCAAAAGGGAGGAGATCAGTCCAGTTCGTCTGTTGGTAAGAAACGTAGCACCTAAGATATTGCTCCACCATTTTATTAGCGGCTTCAGCGGCCCCATCAGTGGCTGGATGAAAAGCAGATGATCACCCTTGAGATGATCCAATCAATGTAAGGAAATTTCTCCAAAACTTCGCTGTGAATTGCACCCCCCTGTCTGAGATTATTCGCTTAGGGGCACCATGCAGCCGGTAGATATGTTTCAGGAACAATTTGGCCAGGCGTTGGGCAGATGGGAGTCCTTTGCAGGCGATGAAATGAGCCTGTTTCGAGAACAGGTCTATCACAGTCCAGATGACAGTATTTCCCCTACTTTCAGGTAGGTCCACTATAAAGTCCATAGCTATTTCTTCCCAGGGTTGAGAAGGGTCTGCCACGGGTTGCAGTAACCCAGGAGTTTTCCCCGGGATTCTTTTCATTGTGGCACATACAGTACAACTTTTTACATAGTTTTCCACATCCTTTTTCAGCCCCGGCCACCAGAATTGCCGGCGGGTGAGGTGTAGGGTTTTCAAATATCCAAAGTGTCCAGCCTGCTTTTGAACTCTTCGCTCTCAGCTGGGAAATCTGCCAAATTCTTCTCTCCCCCGGCTTGCTGGCCGTCACTTTCCCCCCCGGGGAAACTGTTGCAGCTACGGGGCTGGTCTCAGGCAATCTTTCTTTCTCCATAATGAGATCTTCCCCAAAACTTTGCCAGCTCCTCTCAGGCATAGAGGCAGCTGATGGAGTTCGGGACGCAGATCGTTTGAAAAGAGTGTTGGATTCTGGCATGATGTCACAGGTTCCGACTAATGAAGCACTTCAAAGAACTTTCAGGCATGTTTTCTAAAGTCTTTATTGCAGAGCTACAGTTTTGCCGGTCACCATGATGGACGGGTTGATGCCAGAATCTGAACTTCCTTTCGCTGGCATCAAGCTTTTCTTGCTAAACCCCACCCTTCTCATGCAGTCACAGGTCACATTATCCAATTAGTGTGAAGGTCAAAAGTTTGCTTCCTCTTTCTTTCCCGGGCTTTTCCCCCCCCCACTCTAAGCTAAGTATTAACCCAATAAATACCAGATAGTTTTGCATATTGTCAAAGCAAGAATATACAGTATTCGCAGCATTGACACAGTGATTTTAAGGGATCATGGAGCTCATCTAGTCTATTCCTTTCCTAGTGAACCAACCCACTGTTACAGCATTCTGGACCAGCCTCTCTTTAAGTATCTCCAGCAAAGAAGAATATTGCTTCATTGTTAAACAGCTTTTATTGTTGGAAGCAATCTCTTGATGGTCAGCTGAAAGCTAGTTCCTTCCAATTTAAAACTATCATTTTTTGTCTTATATTCTGAAACAATTCTGACAAGTTATGTCCCATTTTACACATGAAAGCCCTTCAGATACTTGAAGATAACCACCATATCTCCCCAAGGCCTTCTCTTCTCTAGGCTAAACATATCAACTGTCTCCAACTATTCTTCCAGTCTTTCCTTCCAGGAACTTATTATTATAATTGTTCTCCTCTGGACATGTTCCATTTGTCAATGTCCTTCCTAAAATGTGCTGCATAGAAACAGACACTAAAATGTTATGTTATTCCCAAAGCTTGAAATAATATCCTGTACAGTAAAATACTTTGGCTAGCTGGAGAACTTGGGAATTCATATAAATATAAAATGAGAAACAGTCATTTTTGCAAATTACTTTCCACCTTTTTAAATAAAATAATTATATAAACATGTAGGACCATGGTACTGCAAGAATGTATAGAAACAGACTTCAAAGTTGAATTTTTGATCCATAAATATTCTTACAACATATTTTGGCAAGTCTTCATCATTCTGGTGAACCACCAGTTCCATTCTTCAAATCATATTCTTTAAAAAGTATGCATTTCCATGGCATATAAGTATCATATTTAAGAACAAGAAATAAAACATCCAATAAATATAGAAACAGTATGAATTAAAGTAATATCTTATTAGCTTGCAGAATGGGAATTTGAACATAAACTGGCCGGAAAAAAATTAAAATGTTACTAACTTATACTAATTATATTTTGCCATACCCAGATATCAACAAATCCACAATATTACAAGCAATCAGAGTTGCTATGCACATTTTTTTATAATCCAAGCAACAAAATTTATACATCACTATTCCATAGAGAAATGTTGAACATTAGTAATTTAAGTACTTTCGGCCCAAGTTTTTAACTCCCCCTTTTGACCTTCTTTTGTTTTTTATTTTATGCTATCCCAAGTAAGGATAATAAAACAAACGTATGCTTTATTATAATGTAGACTGCAAGAAATCTTACCGTGAAACTATTGTTGACATTTTTAGTGCTAGATTCTGCCACACTGGCATCTGTCAGATCCACCTCATCAAAAATAATTGACTGAAAAATTTTAAAAAAGGTAAGAATTAATTCAAGAACAAAAAGAAAGTCTAATACATAAAATTTGGAGATTAAAATAACTATTATGAGTAATTTCTTCACAGGAGATTTTCTTGTCTATTTAATCAGAATGAGGATAGCTAAATCTTTTAGAAGTGGCTGATGGACTGGATGAATGGCAACATGACCTGTCAAGATGGTGCAATTGGGGCCTATGCTCTAGGACAGCATTGACAGTCTAAATCCATCTCCCCAAACAGGCTCTATGAGTCAAATTGCCATATAAAATCAGAGAAGCATATTGCTGCCCATACACAGGATTATACTGGGTATAATGGCTTTATACTTCTACTACTCCACTATCTCTTTTGTCCATCAGCAGACATTTCATCTGCCCTGTTGTTGTTACTGTGGAAACTGGCTCTTGAAAGTTCCTTACACACAAAACAGATCTCAGATTCGTTGAAAAAGAACTGCTTTAATAGTTTTGCAGTTGGGAAAGGATGTCAATAGAGGGAACTTGAGATGAAAACAGAGCCGTGGCGGCGCAGTGGTTAGAATGCAGTACTGCAGGCTACTTCTGCTGACTGCTGGCTGCCAGCAGTTCAGTTCTCACCGGCTCAAAGTTAATTCAGCCTTCCATCCTTCTGAGGTTGGTAAAATGAGGACCCAGATGGTTGCGGGCAATATGCTGATTCTGCAAACCCCTTAGAAAGAGCTGCAAAGCACTGTGAAATGGTGCTATTGCTATTGCCATTAAGTCTAAGTGCTATTGCTATTGCCATTAAAAATCTAAAGTCCATCTGCCCAACTACCCATAACTGCTCTTCTGAGCAATGGAAGTTGGGTACTTCTCAAAGCTACATCTGTCTCTCAACTTGAACCATACAAGAAAGGGTGGGACTTCCAATGGAAGAGGTACACCAAATGACTCCTTGCACTAAGGCTGTAGTTTTAACAATTATTCATAAATATTTTAGGCCTCTTTAATTTACTTTTAGCTAAAACAGTATAGCATTTTCCAGGCTTCCATAAAAGCTTGTAAAAAGATGCCACTGTTTTAAGGAATCCTTTTATTAAAATTAGTGTAACTATTAACTGGAACAGATTTTATGCTCAAGTACCTAGAGCAAGGGTAGGCAACCTCGACTCTTTTATGACTCATGGACTTCAACTCCCAGAATTCCTGAGTCAGCATAGCTGACTCAAGAATTCTGGGAGTTGAAGTCCATGAGTCATAAAAGAGCCGAGGTTGCCTACCCTTGACCTAGAGGGATCTGATTTCTAATAGATCTCCACACTTATAAAAATACAAGTTCTTCATATCTAGAAGCATTTTTATTGACAAATACACTTCAAAACAAAAAATCTTAAAGTTGTATTCTGAATCTCTATATGACACAAGGTTAAAACTTGAACAGAAACTCACTAGAATTCTCCACTCCAATCTATTGCTATATGAAGTCCTGACACAGCCAGGCAACATATTTCAACTGGAGAGTTCTCCGCATATCTAGAAGACACTGACAGCTCAACCTTTCCTGGTAAATATGCAAGTAACCAATCATGATAAATTCAAGGTGTCTTCATTATAATGAATTTGTCTGAAAACTAATTTTTGTCAAGAGGAGATTGTGAAAGGAAGCCAAGTGAATAAGGTTATTGCTCTTAATGACTACTGTAACTAAGTTATCAAGTGTTTCCAATATCCAGGATGAGAAAAATTCTGTATTAGATTCAGCTTTATTATATAAAATAAAAGTTGAAGGCATCTAGGCCTATTGCACAGAGGTGGAATTCCCAATAAAATGTTATACCATATATATCCTATTTTTTCTGATTTTGCAGTATCTCCAAAGACTGAAATTAATGAAGTGCACATCACGTTAGGAGAATTTCAATATTATTGTTTTAAAGCTAACTGTATTCGCTTATTGGTAATAAAAACAAAATATGTGATCCTATTTTAATATTTATAGTTAATGGGATAATAACATACCTTAGCAGTTTTGGCGTAGTACAAAGTTCGCCCTCTCAATTTGAAATATCGCCTTTTCCACCGCTGGAAGGAATTGGTTTGCTTCATCAACATGCCCTCTTTGATAATAGTCTGGAAGCCAAAAAAATTCAATAATGTTTTACATACAGCCCATTTATCTGTACTACTTGCTCCTCTCCCATAACAAAAAGAAGTATTGCTGAGGTTTATAAAATATTATTTGACTGCCCTCTGCTGGAGATACTTAACACATATTTGAACTGTAAATCTTTTCTATATTCAAACACAAAAAACAATTGCTTCTGTGAATAGAAGACATTATCATGCTGTGAGAATACCAGCCTAAACTCTGATGTCTCTTGTTTGAATAAAGTTAGCACACAGAAGGATACCTCATGTAAAGCTATCAGCATTTGATTGCCACAAGAAACAAGCTGCATATTTAAGAAATGAGGACAGCAATAAAAAAGCAAAGAGGCAATCTATCCAGCATACACACACACACACACACACACACGCGCGCGCGCGCACACACACACACAAGGGGACAAGGCCAAGAATATCTGATATATATATATATATATATATATATATATATATATATATATATACACACACATACATACATACATACATACATACCAGTACACACACACACACACACACACACACACACACACACACACACACATTTCAGATATTCTCATTGGTTGGCTGGCTGCCATTTCTCAGGCTGAAGCGCCAAGCCTGTCTTTACATAAAGTTCTTTTTTTTTCTCACTTCCTCCACAGCTAGCCACATTCACACACATCCTCCATACCCCATTCAGACAATAGGCATATCCAGCTATAATGATATTTTTATCTGCATTCATGTAGTCACTTTTAATTAAATAAGAAACTTAGCTTAATGGAAAAAAGTCAATAAATACTGGAAGATAGTAAATCTTTAAAACACGAAAGTTTTCAAACCAAATACAATGGAGCTGGCATTAACTGACCAACGGAGAACATCTATCAGCAGTAAGTGGCACAATACCTAATTTAAATGCTTCACTTAACACTCTCTTCTTATCAAGTCAAGCAGTTCAGCATAGAAACCAATAATTTAAAAAGATACTGAGGAAATTCCATAACCTATTTTGTTAGTTCATTCTTTACTTGAAAATAAGAATACAACATGTATGAAAGATAGCAGTGCTTTTAATTTAAAATGAGGCATCACCATTATACTTAACAATGAATGTAATCACTGAGATCAATAATATAAATCTTATTATATCATTCTACTACGTTCGTGTCCTACCATATGAAACAATCTATAATTTATTTATCATTATATAGTTTGAAGATTCTTTAAAAATCATTTAATTAGTTAAATTCACAAAAATAACTAGGCCCAAACTATTTTCTTTAGCTAGATATTCCACACATACTCACCTATTTTAATCTGTTATTGCACATCCAGGTCTCCAACACTTAAAAGTACCCTTTAATACAGTGGTTCTCAACCTTTTTAATGCCGCGACCCCCCCCAATTGGTTGTAAGTTGAGGACTACTCAACCGGTCGTAAGTCGAGGACTACTCAACTGGTGCAGCACCGTTTGCAGAATGGGACTTTTGGTGGGCTCAGCAGGGCAGAGACAGCCTGGACAATTCCTATTGGCTTTCAAAAGCCAATAGAATAAAAGGGAGTAGCACAGCTAAGGAAAAGGGGAAAAAAATGGCAGACTGCATTGTTTGGCGACCCCGTGAAATGATCGTGTGATGCCAAATGGGGTCCCGACCCACAGGTTGAGAAGCACTGCTTTAATAGAAGGATAAATTATCTAAAGTGCCTGTTCTTCCTAATTGCTGCAAATTTTCATGTTTTCCCTTGCTGTTTTCTTAGTAATCATGGGGAAAAAAACAGTACACAATCATCACTTCTAATTTGTTTACAGAAGAATATAAATTTTAGTTTTATTAAATTAAAATCAAAGAAGTCTCAGAGGAAAAAAAGAATCACATCTGCCTTCTAAGTCAAGATAACCTAAACCAGGCATGTGAAACTCGTGATGTCACGTGACGTCGCGTGATGTATCAGGAATTTTTCCCCATTGCCGGCAATTGGGTGGACACAGTGTCGGTGTGACGCATCCGGCCCGTGAGCTGGCAGTTTGACATGCCTGACCTAAACTAAAACAGTGAAATAGTATCTTAATTAATTTACTGTTAATGGCATAATAGCATGTATACTCATAGGCACCAGTTCAACATGAGACACTACCTTTTTATTTTCTAGGATAACTACTATCAGATGGAATCCATTATTACAATCCTCAAAATTATATAATAAGGAGAGTACATTAAAACACCAAAAATGGATGTCATTGAGGCTGACTGCTATTAATTTCCCACACACCCATGTATTTTTCAAGGCAATAGCACAGAAATCATTTGCTTCTACACTTTTATATGATTTTTTGCTGACACCTCAGTTTATCCTACAATCTTGATGTCGCCTGGTAATCTCCCACTATCTATCAACCAATAGGGCTGTGCAGAGCTTTTGATTAGATTTATAAGAGAATCTTAGAAGCATAATATCTTTGTGCAATTCTTGAAAGCTACAGCTGCTAGAGGATTCCAGGAAAAGCCATTGTTGCTTTAAAGAGTTGCTTACGTGTGCTTTATTCTCATTCTGAAGCATCTTTTTAATTTGATGCACTGTGTAATAAATAATAAGCTCCAAATCTGCTTAGCAGCCTTAGTGTATGAAGATTAGCTATGCTCTATTAGATGCTGCCCCCTAGAACTGACATACAAAAATCTCTTAATTTAAGAATGTTTTCAACTCTTCACAGGATGTGATCTTCAAAAATCAGCAAGGTTTTTTTTTAGACATAGCCATATGTATTTTTCCTACTCTATAACTAAAACAGAGAAAAAGAGCAGCTACCCTGACTACTATAAAGTTACCCACATCATCATGAAGTCACCTCTTAGGATCTTTCATAAATTATATATGCAACTCATATTACAATTTGCAACAAATCAGCAAAAGGGATTCTGCAGAATTTCAACCAGCAAAATGCATAAGATGAAGCCTTTAGATGAAGTTGAAATTAACAGTTATATTTTCCTAAACAAAATTTGCCTAATTATAACAAGAATCAAGTATTTTTCAGACAAATTTTAATAATTGCTTCCTCCCCAAATAAAGTAAAAAAAGCTATGTTTTCGATGAAAACAATAGAAAAATATGTATTATTACAAGTATTTAAAACAGGTGAAACATAATCAAAGCTTGAATGCTAAAGAAGATTAATAGATATTTTGTATCCTACTACTACTTCACTCTGTTTACTTTAAATTTATGTCAACCCATGTTTCCCAGCCAACCAGGGTGTTTATTCACATCTACAGAACAAACTCACCTGTGCAAATGTTGAGTACTCTTCCATCTCTTTTAAATATTGGCTTAAAAAAAATCACTGCTACTTCCCCTTAATTAAAAATAAACCAGGGGATTTTCCTCTATTAGAATATTTACAGGACCTCTATAAGTGAATGACTTAGATATGAAAAACTAGCAGAAATGATGTCACTGTGATTGGGCCACCTCTTTCAAAACACAGATGCTGCTGGGGGAGAAAAATGAACTTGTAGTTTACAGCTGCCCATCTCTGCAAGAGAGCTGCTGTTCTATTTATAGTCAGGCAGCTTAGAAAAGACTTTGGTGGGTTTGGGCGGAAAAGGCTGGAGATAAGATCAAGATGACTTTATAGCATTTTTTTCTTTATATATTGCTCCTTTTTTGTAGTTTGTTCATATTCCAGTTAGCAGTTTTCGGTCCTTTCAATTCTAGGGAATGCTTTTTGAGCAGTGAGTTGAGGTAAAAGCAAAGTAGCAGTTTTCTTCTCCCTAAACAATCTTTAAAAGAAATAGGACTCCATGTTCACAGCATATTTTTAGGTATGACATGTGGGCAGTTATCCACAGTAAATGGCTAAAGAGAAGAAACCTATTATTCAGCCTCCTCACTCAAAAATGAGCAAGCACTATTGTAAGAATTTCTACATGCTCTCAGTAGCTATCAGCTAGTCATAGGAAATAATGCATTTTAGTTACCTTGGTAGCCAATGCAAGCACCAATTAAAAATTAAAATCATTATCAAGAATTTGCATTTCAGCAACACTACTTGGCTCCCAAAGAATGCAATGAGTTACCCACATAAGAATGAATTGTTAAAAATCATGCTGTGTCTTCTTTCCTTTTCACAACCAAGAACATTGTATTAAGTACTATAGTTAAGTGAAGATGTAAATCTAGACTGCCCAAGTAATAATACTTTCCTTTTCAGATGAAAAGGAAGAAAATGTTTATTTTTAAAAGCCCTCCTGGTTAAATGATCTGCTCTAGGAGATAACAAATGAGGAATCATTTATATTTACAACCTGGCCATTGTGTAGATCCAAGTAATCTGTGGCTAGATCCAAGTACCGGTAATAGTGATTTGCCTGGTTCAGCAAATAACATTAATGAGGCATAAAACAACATATTATGAAATATATGCATAATGTTGTTACTAATGGATAATAATTTAGGATAATCTCATCAAATGATCCTCCTATAAGTTCTGTAATGTCCTCTAATAAAGGAGAAAAAAAATCATTTTGGAGAAAATATATTTTTGCAATGTTTTCTGAGTAAGGAGAAAAATAAACCTTTTGAAAAAGAGCTCTAGAAAAGAAAATGTTCTTGCTTCCTGAATATATGCATTGTTACTGTACCTCTCCTCTGCAGCTGGAAAATTTTTCTTTCAAAATTTTCTCTTTTCAATAATGAATACAATATACAGTAGCAACATCTATTAGTATCTGAGCAAAAGCCATTTCTTCACATAGATGAGCAAAAAGTCATGCCCTGAATTTAGGAATCTGAATGCCAAGCAGATGAAAACAAAATAAAAAACCCCGTAAAACAAATATGCACATGTTTTACTTACTGTGTTGGAAATTTAATTCTAACTGTTAAGTCTTTGCAAATGGAGAGCACCAACTACATTGTGCCTGAACCCTATTATTGTTTCTATTTTCTGCAAGGTATGGGTGAGGAAAGAAGGGAA